AGAGAACTTAGCCGCTCATGGCTAAGGAATTCACTCACAAGTATAGAAGAAGATAATCAAATCAATGTATAAAATGTTTTTTTTTTATGATTATCCATCAACTTAAATTAATGAAACAAAGTATCAAATAATTTTCAAATTTTTGAAAACTTTGCAAACTTGATCTATGCACTAAGAATTTTTAATTTAATGGTTGGATCGTTATAATTTGATATACAACATGAGTTATTAAGTGAAGTAAGTTTAGATAGACTTATTCTTCATTGAGTGGATCACTCATCTCTCTCTCTCTATCTATTTATTTATCTATCTATCTATCTATCTATCTATCTGTCCATCTATCTATCTATCTATCTCTCTCTCTCTCTCTCTCCATATATATATATATATATATATATATATATATATATGTGTGTGTGTGTGTGTGTGTGTGTGTGAGGATGAATCCATTTACTCCAAGAGTAAGTCTACCTAGACTTACTCTGTTCAATAACTCATGTTCTACATCAAATTTCAACGATCCAACCGTTGAATTTAAAGTTCCTAATGCATAGATCAAATCTGTAAATTTTTAAAAAATTTGAAAATCATTTGATACTTCGTTTCATAAATTCAAATCATTGTATAAAATGATTTTATAATTATCCGTCAATTTGAATTAATGAAATGAAGTATCAAATGGTTTTCAAATTTTTTAAAAATTTACAAATTTGATCTATGCATTAAGAAATTTAAATTCAATGGTTGGATCGTTAAAATTTGATGTAGAACATGAGTTATTGAATGGAGAAAGCTTAAGTAGACTTACTTCTAGAGTAATAAAAGCAGGAAGATTGCAGATTAAAAAAAATAAGAACAAAAAGAGTTATAGTGGTTAGAAATAAACCCTACGTCCACTCTTCCAGGTATTTGCAGACTTTTTATTATTAGAGAATCTAAGAACTTTAGAAGAGATAAATTCCTCATACTTGATTCTCCCTTTTCAACAAAGGATACCTCAACGTGGTAACCTGTGCGTCATCTGTGGAACACCTAGCTAAGCCATTATATAGAAGGAGATAACAAGCTTAAAGTTAGTTATTAAAAAAAACCATTACTAACTTGATAAAAAAAAAATTCCAGGCTTCTCCAACTAACACTTAACTAAAAATAATATATTGACATCTATAAAAGAGACAATTAAGCCTAAAATGAAGATCCACCCAATTCTACAACTATTATACTTATTTGTCTATTTAGCTAAATATTGTTAATATTAATTTTAACGATGCAATTAATTAATGATGATATATTTTGTGAACTTAACATAATAAACCTTACATTGTAAGTAAATATTAATTATTTTATTATTTAATTAATTTTTCTTACTTGTGATAAATGTAATGTATAAATACGCTAATTAAGTGAACATTATTAAAGTGAATTAAAGTTTTCCAAAACGTAAAAATATTTGTTTTTCGAATGTCATGGGTTTGACAAAGGAAACAACATTTGAGTTGTCTCCTTTGCCTTAAGTCCATCTTAAATACATATATAACTTGATTTTGGACAACTATTTAAACTTCCTCACATGTCTAGATTGTAGTACATTTGTGATATACAATAGGTTGACTAATAATTTAGATGGTGCATTTGGCTGATGATCCATATATGCATTAGGGACAATCCAATGCGTAGAGTAAAAGTATGTATATTTTGACATGAGTGTAATACCCTTATATTTTTTAGAGGATTATCTAATTTGCTTTAAATTTTATCATTAAAAATACTAAAAGAAATATTTAAAATATTAAAATATAAATTTTTTACTTTTAAATTTTAAAAATTACAATATAATTAAAGTTTAAAATTTAAAAAATACTCGTTCAAAATTCAATTTTGAGAAACCGAGTTCTAAAAATAAATATATAAAAGACATCAAAATTCAGGTGTGAATTTGGCTTCTGAACTCCAAATTCACACTTGCAGAGGAAAAGAGGGTAGGAGGGTCAATTTTGTGTACATAGGCTCAGTTTTTTTTAAAAGAAACATCCCTCTTTATCCGGTTCGGAAGTTCCATTATCATGGCGCCAAAGTTTGCCCTCTGAAAGGCAAGACAAATGGGTTAACTTCTTAACCTTTCGACATTTTAAAAATACGGGCAACTATCAGGTCTTGAATCATGACTGCCAAAATCTCAGGTAGACCATGGCATTGTAATGAGTAGTCACTTCCTCACTTTTATATACAGTAACAGTTGCTAATAACAGTGTTCAATTAATGCCCTAGTTTTAGTTAAAGTTATACGTACTTTCCTGTCATAGATCTCTGGGAAACCCTGTAGGAGTACCATTACACTGTTTCTCTCCTAATTCGAAACGAGTTGGAAACTCGTACTATTCACCCATAATTAATATATGTTTATTATGGAATATGGAAAAAAAAAAAAAAAGGAAAATGAGATATAAGTTGTATATTATCATGCATCCAAATAACAGCACACTATATCTATGACTACCAGCTACTCTTTAAAATAATGTTTGTATTCAAAAGAGAAAAGACACGTAAGTACTTATTAAAATCAAATTTCTTCAACTTATCAGGCATAAACAACTGTGCATAAACATTGAAGCCTGTTGCTTATTGTGTTACGTTCTGCATTTGATGGCTAATTGAAACTAGAGCTAACAGATAGCAAAGTGTAAGAACTGTAATATATATGGTTCTTAGTTCTTTAATATGCTGCAGTAAAAGAAAAAAAAAGGTTCAATAATATGTATACATAATTTTTTTGGGATATGTTTTCAGAAGAGCACGCAATCAAAACCCTGGATACATAGCTATTTATTTAATGCAGGAAATTATGGAGTAAACTCTAGCTAGATTGAGAGTCTTCCCTGATCAACGTCCAATTATGAATTTAGACAAAAGAAATAGTAATATTCAAAGAAATTAATTACTACTAATACAATAGACTTATATCCTCCCGAAGAGTCCCCATAAAAGGCAATAGGGGACAAAAAGGAGGATTACATGGAAGGAGATAGTGCCAATATTTTAACTTGACGTGTAGTCACACTCATTGTTGCATTCATGCAAGACAACCAATTAATCAATTTGCATAGAGCCCCATCATTTGATAAAAGAAAAAAATCCCAAAAGTAATTACTAACAAGAAATGAATTCTTCCATCGTCCCACATATCGTTAGAAGAAGAAAAAAATCACTTAACTATGTAGCTAGGTAGAATATATATATATATAAAAGGAGGATTCATTTACATAAAGAATAAGTCTTAAATTTATTTTATTCAATAATTCTTGTTCTACATGAAATTTCAATCATTTAACAATTAAATTAAAAAAAATTTAATGCACAGATCAAGTTTACAAATTTATAAAAAAAAAACTTAAAAAATAATTTGATATTTCTTATATAAACTCAAATCAACGTATAAAATATTTTTATGATCATTTGCAAATTTAAATTAATAAAATAAAGTATTAAATAATTTTTTAATTTTTAAAAATATTTAAAATTGATCTATGCATTAAAAAAAATTTAATTTAAAGGATTGACCGTTAAAATTTGATATAAAACATTAGTTATTGAAAAAAATAAATCTAGCTAGAATTATTCTCGAAGGAAGTAGATCTATCCTCCTCCTTTTATATATATATATAAAAGGAGGATTCATTTACATAAAGAATAAGTCTTAAATTTATTCTATTCAATAATTCATGTTCTATATGGAATTTCAATCATTTAACAATTAAATTAAAAAAATTTAATGCACAGATCAAGTTTACAAATTTATAAAAAAGAAACTTAAAAAACAATTTGATATTTCTTATATAAACTCAAATCAACATATAAAATATTTTTATGATCATTTGTAAATTTAAATTAATAAAATAAAATATCAAATAATTTTGTAATTTTTTTAAAATCTTTAAAATTGATCTATGCATTCTAAAAAATTTAATTTAAAGGATTGATCGTTAAAATTTGATATAAAACATTAGTTATAGAAAAAAATAAATCTAGCTAGAATTATTCTCGAAGGAAGTAGATCCATCCTCCTCCTTTTATATATATATAAAAGGAGGATTCATTTACATAAAGAATAAGTCTTAAATTTATTCTATTCAATAATTCATGTTCTACATGAAATTTTAATCATTTAACAATTAGATTAAAAAAATTTAATGTACAGATCAAGTTTACTTATAAAAAAAAAACTTAAAAAACAATTTGATATTTCTTATATAAACTCAAATCAACATATAAAATATGTTTATGATCATTTGTAAATTTAAATTAATAAAATAAAGTATCAAATAATTTTTTAATTTTTTTAAAATCTTTAAAATTGATCTATACATTAAAAAAAATTTAATTTAAAGGATTGATCATTAAAATTTAATATAAAACATTAGTTATTGAAAAAAATAAATCTAGCTAGAATTATTCTCGAAGAAAGTAGATCCATCCTCCTCCTCTCCCTTCTTCCCCCCACTATATATATATATATATATATATATATATATATTAATACCACAACGAAAACCACACAAAAACCTATTGTAATCAAATAAACACTATAAGAAATATTATATGCAGTGATATACAAAAATGTTATTATAGATATAATATATATAATTATAAATTTATTTAATATAAATATATACAAAATTTTAATATTAATTTTTAATGAGATGGAATAAATTATATTGAGTTATTATAATCTATAACTACAATTTTTAATAATTATGAAAATGTAAATGTAAATAAAATAATTTGTAATAACAAATATTATATTATTATATGTGTGCCTCACTAGTCACTATAAAATAATTTATTTTGTGCAAAAAAAAAAAAACCTTTATTAATTTAGAAAACAAACAAAAGAAAATCCTACTAAGAAACCACGAGAACCTCAACCCCAAGCAGAAAATAGAACAAGCTAGAAGTAAATAATTTGGGTGAGGAGAAAGTGGGGTGAGGTGGGACAAGAAATGGAATCACAAAAGCCAAATTAAGTTGGCCGTGATATTAGCTAAGCATCAGTGTATATAAAAACAAGGAGTTGACAGGTGAAGTGGGATTGAAAAGATTGACCTGCGTCTCCTCCATGCACCCTTTGGTTTTACAGCAAAAATAAAACAAAATTACACTGAATAGATTCTCCTTGTCGCTTATCCCCATCTCGTATGAAACCGCACTTCAAATGGTGACCATTTGAAAAGCCTACAAAAAGAAACCCAACATAGGCCAGAGAGCTCAAAACAGAATAAAACCAGGAGATCAGTGTAATGAGATGACTTTATCAGCATTATAACTATTTCAACTGACAAACGGAAAAGTCATATTTAGAGAGAAAAGAAATTAATTAATCTCCATCCAACCATCCATCTATATCCAACCAACAGTGTCCACATGTCCTTTCTCTTCCTTGTCTTTCTCTCTCTTTACCATTTTGAAATCACCACCCATGCCAATTTAAATTCACATCATTTATATTTTTCCAATTTCAGCACATATTTGAAACATATTTAACCAGCTACTCTAGCTTAAACATATGTAACAATAATAGGCAGCTGTGAACCAGTAATTAAATACTATTTTTATCTTTAAAATTTAAAAATATTGTCTTATTCACCTCTATAATTAAAAAAATTTATAATATAACTTTCAGAAAATACAACTTTTCTATCATATTAAATCCAAAACTTAAAAAATATATATATAACTAAATCTATAACAACACACTTTTTTAAATATATTCTTTTAAACAAGTTAAATTTTATTAAAAAATATATAATTTGGTGAACTCGACACCCTATTTAATCACTCGTTATAATTTTTGGTAAATTCTAATTAGGGATGAAAGATGTTTAAAGTGTGTTCTTAACAACATTCTTCTATTGATATATTTAGTAAATATTTAAATTTAAAAATTTATTTAACAATTTCTTAGTTTTAGAAAGTTGTGTAATGTAATATAACAAGCCTCTTCTAAGAGGAAATAAAGTGGGTGTTTACTTGTGGTGAAGAACTAAAAGTCATGAGAGTGATGGTACATTGTTGGGTCACATCCAGCACCTTGCGAGCCATGACGGTTGATGGCTTCCCTGTGAGTGTTGCTGCTATCATCGTCACCCATTTGTGGCGTGGCACCGAGGTTCAGATACACCAACCTCGAGTCCAAATTGCCGCTACTGTGATCTTCACTCATTGGCGGGTAAATAGCGGTCGCAGAAGCAGAAGCAGAAGCAGAAGCGCAATTGTTGTTGTCGTCGTCGACGTTGTTTCCTTCCTCGCGGGACAAAACCTGGGCCGCGGATTGCACGAGCTCGAGACAAAGCCTGAGTTTGTTGGGCTCGATGTGGGTGAGCCCAGGGACAGCCCCTTTGAAGAGGAAGTCCGAGGTTAGGGTTCTGAGGATGTCCAAAGGGGTGACACCCTCCACGGTTCGGACGTTGGGGTCGGCGTGGTGGTCCAGCAGCACCGCCACCATCTCCGGCGAGACCATCTCGGCGGCCACGTGGAGCGGCGTCTTCGCGGCGGGGCCGGCGGGGAAGTTGACGTCGGCGGCGCCCAGCTCGAGGAGCGCCTTCACGACCTCGCGGCTGCAGCTCTCGACGGCGTAGTGCAGCGCGAGGGCCTCGTCGAGGTTGAGGCCCTCGCCCATGACCATGAGCTTCACGAGCTCCACGTCGGAGGAGTCGAGGGCGCGCCGCATGCGCCGGATTTTGTGGTCCTCGATGTCGGGGGCGGCGGCGAGGTCGTGGCTGCGGCGGCGGTGGTGGTGGTGGTGGTGGTGGTGGTGGAGGGGCATGAGGGAGCGGCGCGCGAGGGAGGTCTTGAGACGGAGCTCTTCGATCTTCGCCACCACGTCGATGGGGAGGTGCTTCGCCAGCACCTCCGGTGGCAGCCCTGACTTCGCCACCAGGTGCGAGCACGTGCTCCACAGCTCCTGCATTTCTTGCTTTCGCGATGCTATCAGCACTTTCATCACGTCGTCGATTGAGGCTTTCTCTACCATGCTCGCTAGTTGTTTCTGCAGTCAACAAAATTGCAACCAATTACAAATTCATTCTTCAAATCTCTCGTTTATCAACCAATAAAATCAATTCAACTGCTTCATCAAGTTAATAATACCAATTATCAATTCCTCTATCACTGATTTTTTTTTGATAGCTTTAGTATAATTTCGTTTTTTTAATAAAAGAAATTCAGTACAAAATCTTGTTTACATTGTTTGGAAAAGGTTTATATATGAGATGAAGTTATTATGTCATTTTAATTTCAAGAAAATAATGTATAAATTCATTTCGGTTTACATAAGTGTTTGGGCAGAATTTTATTTTTTTCTTATAAATATTTATGTAAAAGTGCATGTATTTAAGAAAAAAAAAATAAGGAATCTAGTTCAATAGAATAAGATGATTAATTGAGTAGAATTCTGAGTTGTTGAAATTTTCTAGTACTAAATTCTAATGAAAAGAAAAACAAATGCGAAATATATACCATTTTTTTAATTGTCTGATGTTATATATTCTCTAATTGGATTTGAGACTTCAAATAGATAAAGTATACTGCCAAATTTTATTACAATATTATCTGATTGAAACTCTCAGCAGCTTTAGAATTTCCCAATCAAATCAAATCAACTGTATGTAAGTTTAGTCTAATCATTAAACCTGACTTTGAAATTGCCGGCACCACTTTATAAATCTGTCATTTTAGTTTCAACTTTCAAATTTCATACAATGCTATTCAATGTCAAAAATAAAAAAGAGTAAAAAAAACTACAATGAGCCGCATTTCACAATGCCATAAAATGAAGAAATAAGTGTCAAACAAAATATGGAAATCAACATTTAATTTTTCTTTAATCTCCTGCTATACAAAACTCTTATTAAAAAGTAGCAATCTCATATAAGACACTTTTAATTAGATATAAGACATTTATAATTAAATCATGTTGATGAATATAAATAACTATGTTAATGCTAATTAATTTTATTGAATTTATAGAATAAAATTATAATCAACTAATTTTACTCTTATTATTTATCATTAGATTTTTATATGAGAGGTGAAAATATTACTTTATATCAAAATTTATGTATTAACATCAGTAAAATTGACATATGACAATTAGAGTTTAAGAGGTGAGAAAAAATATTTATTTACTAATTTTTTTTCTCATTATTCAATAACAAGAAATACATTCTCACAATTTTTATAAGACACAGAAAATGAAAAATTAAATTACTTTATAAAAAAAAATATAACCTAACTTATAAAAATAACCACTGTTTCTTTTTTTTTTTTTTTAATTATATCTTGGAATAAGGACATGAGGGAGTAAATTACACAATCAAGGAAAAATGCATTAGAAACAAAAACAAAAAGAGTATGTTTAGCGGAGACAAGGATGAGGAACTAGAGTTATTTATATTCTCGTTGATTAAAATACGAGTTTAGCTGAAAGAAAATAGTGGTTGACACTGACAATGCTCGATCTGAAGAGTTTTGAAAAGTTTAATGACACTCCTTGCAAAGTGTGAGAATTGGTTGCAGAAAGAAATTCGAGTTAAAAGAGCAAAATCCAATTCATGGATATTTTGCTAAAGTCATGTTCAAGCAGCTAACTCTTTCCTTTGTTTTAGCTTGTTCTCTTTCGTAGCCCCAACCCAAATGAGGAAAGGGAATATGTGGGAATTATTTCGCGTGCCTGCTTTGTGGAAGACAAGATTGATGTTTATTTATCATCTTCATTAAGGTAATATATTTGGTAATTAAGCATCATAATGGGTAGAGGAACACCAAATCGAGAAACTCCGTGTCTCTAAAATATAATACATGAAATCTAGGGTCGTCAAAAACATTAACTCTTTATATAAATACCAGTGTCTGGTTAACGAGTACCCTTATAAGTCAATATATAGAAATGTGTAGATACATTTTTTCTAATAAAAAAAAAAATATTGAATCAGTGTGCTGAGGGTACATACATATTTCAGCTTGAAATTTAATTTCCAAAATAAACCCATACCCAAACGCAGCTGAAAGAAAAAGCACCATGTGGTGAATTAACCTTCGAAGAAATTAACACACAAAGGTTGTTATCTGAGCGGTGGAATTGGAGGCAGAAGTCAACAAGGATGATTAAGATTTAAGAACGAATCTCATATTCCAGAGAGAGGTGTCATGAGTTGATGAAAAAAACGCAAATCATCCATCAATCATCCATCAAAAGATTATAGAATCGCTCAAAAAGAGGAAAAAAGGAGTGGAAATGAAATAAAAGAAGATTCTGAAATATTAAAAAAAAAAAAAAAGGAGGAAAATAAAATACCCCTACCCAGTAAGTCCGAATTCCAAAGACCAGGAAAAGATACGAGTGGTAGTGAGAAGCAAACTAATCGTAGGAACAGAGAGAGAAATTAAATAAATAAATAATTAATTAATTAACCTGAGTGAGCAATGCGAGCTGTTCAACGCCGAAGTATCTAGCGGCGGCGAGGGTGTCGAGGGCGAGATCAACGGCTGAGGTGCAATGCGTGTGCCAGCACCCTCGCTCGCCGCAATTGGGCCTGGGCTCGTGCTTCTGCGGCACGATGGAGACTTGTCCACTGTACAGGAACTGCAGCAACAGCAAGAAAACCTCGTACCCCACCGAGCTGACGGGGATCACGCCGGGGCCACGCGCCGCCGCGGCGGGGGAGGCGCCTCCGGGGTCGAGGCCGGGCGGCGGGGGGTCGGGCCCGCAGAAGAATTTCCTGAAGAAGAGGCTGCGCGCGGCCAAGATGCAGCGGTGCGCGTGGAGGAGACGGCCCTCGACTTGGAAAGTGACGTCGCTGAAGGCTTGGCCGTTGATGAGGAGGTTGAGGTAGTCGAGGGAGAGAGATCTTAGAGAGTCTTCGAGAGACATGGTGAGTGAGTGAGTGAGTGAGTGAGTGAGTGAGTGTACTCGCTCATCAACAGTTTAGGGTTGTTGTTGGTCCCTATCTATAGTATCTTTGATAGTAATAACTCGTGAGGGCCGAAGGGAGGGAGTGATTGAGATGAAATTGTAGTAAGGGGAGTGAGAGAGAGATATTTTGTTTGGTGTTGCTGTTGTTTTTGTTGTGGTCGATGATTCTACTGTTGTTGTTGTTGTTGTTTTTATGGGATTCTCAGTGAGTCAGTGAGTGGGGATGGGAGGGGTAGGGGCATTTTTCTGTTGTGTATTCATAGATATTTTCCTTTTAGAGAGAGAGAGCAATTTGGGTGGCTATTATGGGCGGCTGGGGTTTTAAAAATGGACTTGTCAAATTATCAAAATCAAAATAATAAATCCTTTTCTCATTGCGTATATATATATATGCTTAGTTACGTGGTAGGGAGTTGAAAAATGAAAAGCATATATAGGGATATAGAATACATGCTAAGCTCTTTTTTTTTTTTTTTTTTTTTTATAAATAAAGATTAGAGTAGAATATGATATAATTCCATGTAAGATTAAAGTCAATTATTAATTTTTAAGGGATTATAAGTCACTTACCTCATCTTTGACATAAGTATGTATGCAAGGATATTAAACACACACGAGGGAAGTTAGATTTAATTTCAAATCGTAATTATAAGAAATAAAGCAACTTAACCAGCTCACCGGACTAAAGAATACGTGCTTATTATTTATAGCTTTATTATTAGAAATTAAAAAAATTTATATAACATCTCATGTGAGGCACTATCTTCATTCTTTTATATATATATATATATATATATATATATATATAAAAGGAGAGATTTATTTAATTCGAGAGTAAATTTTGGTAGACTTATTTCATTCAATAATTGATCATATACATTGAATTTTAACAATTCAATTATTAAATTAAAAGTTCTTAATGTATAGATCAAATGTACAAAAAATTTAAAAAAAATTAAAATTATTTGATAATTTGTTTTAGTAATTTAACTTGACAGATAATTTAATTATAAAAAATTATCCGTTAATTTGAATTAATAAAATGAAGTATCATATATTTCAAATTTAAAAAATAAATCGTAAACTTGATTTATATATTAAAATTTTTAATCTAAAGGTTGGATCATTGAAACTTAATATAAATGATAAGTTTTTTAGTAGAATAAGTCTACTAAGATTTATTCTTGGAGGAAGTGGATCCCTTCTCTCTCTCTCCCTCCTTCTGTCTCTTATATATAAAAGAAACAAGTTAGAGTTTTTGTTCTTAAATATATATAAGAAACATGAGATATTAATTGATAATCTTCTTTATATTCTACTTATTTTCATAAAAGTAAATGCATTTATCAAACATCTAACATTATAAATCATGTTTATTATTAAAAAAATTATTCGTTGACTTTTGATTACAGTATCATTAAATATAATTATCACATACACTATTTAATTCTAAGGATATTTTTTAAATGAAATTTCAAATTATAATATTAATAATTACAACTAAGTAATTTAATTATTTTCCTTGACATTTATTAAGTAGCCACATGAATATCAATAATTTAGTTTATCATAATTTATTAGCGTACATCGTCACTTAGTAAAGGAGACTTAACCACAAGGACTAGTTTATAGGACAAAAAATTAATGGGAGACTAAAAGTTGGTAAAAAGAATTGAAAGAGACTAAAAGTCAAATTTTTATACCGTTCAAGGACTAAACACTTATTTAACCCTATTTTTAATTTGATTTATCAAAATATTTTCTTCTATAGGCTCAACTTTTGGAAATGCCTCAATTTTACAACCCTAGAGATCACCAAATAAATAAATGATTCAATATTAGAATAATGTCCTCCACCTTGATCTCAACTCACCTAACAAATTTTACTTAAACATGTCTTATGAAGACAATCAAATCAGATTTATATATAGGTAAGGGTTTAATAGTCATGTATTATCAATGTAAAAGATTTTAAACTATTGACCAATTAAAAAAACTATTTATATTTTAAGATAAATTTGTAAAAGTCAGCAAACTTAGCATAAATGGTAATGGTTTGTGATTGGGGATAATTGTGTAAAAATATTTTACACTATGAGTGTAATGCCTTTTTTCTTTATAGGTAATATCTTTTATCAAAATATTCTAAGCATTATTCATATCATATCTTATTTTATCGCACCTTATCACATAAAGTAATCAATATGAAAAAAATATAACATTATCGTTGACATTTTGTTTCTTGATGTTTAACAACAAACATCCTATAATTGATGCACACTACAAGAAATGTTACATATAGTGATATATAAAAAAATGTCACTATAGATACAAAATATGTAGGTATATATCTATTTGACAAATAACTATACATAATTTTAGTGTTGATTGAGACTTAACAACATATATTATGTGTCATCATAGCCTATGACCCCCTCTAGCCCGTATACACATATAAATGATAATCTAGAACAAAAGTCTAAATCTCGATGTCACATGATCCTATCAAAACACTTCCATACACAAGGTCTAAACTTCGTCACCAACTTCATTATTATCTTGACAAACTTCACCTACGACAACATACATCACAACAACAACATATAAACAAAGGGAGTGAGAAGCATCTCACTCTAGCTCATGGCATGAAACAAAGGATGGATAGCCACACATACTCAACATATCCATCATAACAATAACATCAATATTAAACATAATTAATATTATCAAACCACAGTACCTCATTCATTATACATCATATCATTAATCATAAGAGACAAATACAATCACATGCAAGACACAATTTTTTATTTGCATGCATGTGATACCAATCACAAATATGTGTAGTGCATATACGATTTGTTGATTCGCTAATTTATTGATTTGCATGCATATAATGCATGTCACATAAACTCAATGTCATATTATAAATCAATGTGCATACTCAACAATTTGTCATACATACAATTTTCCATTAACAATAATTTGTCAATCACATTTCATTTGCATCATTCATGTCTTGCCAAAACCAATGCCAATTCACAAACTTTACATCAATCATGTCTCGCATTAACATAAATACATATTCAACATATCATACTTACTTATCCGCATCGATTAGTACAAGAATCACATGTTCAAAGTTCATGCACAACAATTACACAACATCATTTGATACACCTTAAGATAGAATCATTATGAATTCATCTAATCATCTATCAATATATCAGTCATAGTAACTAAGAGAACAATGTCACTTAACATTTAAATCAATAGCTTATCTAGTCTAGTAGCTTTATCAATATCACACATAAAGTCTTTAGACATCGTTATCACCTAAACACCTCAAGTCATTAACAATCAACTTATATCAAACTTATTAACTATTGTTTACTATCATGATTTCTCCTTCCTAAATATTGATATAGGTACCTCAAACCATTTGTAAGATCAAACACTAAAGGGGTAAAGCTATTTATCATTACCACTCACAAACTACATTTCCATAACTTAATCTTCTAAGACATTATGGGGTCCAAACACCTTATCTAGAGCTATACATATGTTATCAAATTAATCTTAATTTTATTAAAAATCTAAGACAATTATCTACAACTACTATGTTGACCTAAAAAGTTAATTCTTCCATCTACTATTTAATTTTAAAAAAAATACAAATCGCAACATTTTAGCTTATGCTTGATAGCCTAACCTTTACTTATTGATTTGATCATAACTTGAGTTCTACAACTCCCTTTTAGGTGATTCCAAAGACATTTGTAATCTAACACTAGGGATAAAACTTTTATGAATATTACAAAACCTAATTCTATCATTTAAGTCTACTCAAAAGGCTTACAACATAAGCATGCTACATTTTGCACACAAAACATTAGGTTCATCTTTTAACTCACATAATTCAGTCATTCCTTAATATTTTTATGTGATTCTTGAGTCTAAATTGTAACTCCAAATGTCTACTTTCTAATCCCAACAATCAAAACTCAATTTCATTAATCACACACAAAGAAGTCACATAAATATCAAGGTTTATTCATATTAGAATTTTCATAACAAGGCACAACTCATTCCCAAACTCTCTTCTCCCAATTGAATCGGTAAAAACAAAAATTAAAGCCTAATGTTACTCTACTATACCATTAATTACTCAAATGTAACCTAAATGTCACATATTCACATAATTAACTTCAATCTTCACTTTGCTCTATAAAATAGGGTTTCCTATATGAATTATATGTACTCATAGATTCTCAAACAATTCCAGTTACATGAAATTAATGATAAATATAATTCAAACATCACATATAACACACACAATTATATACTTGTATCAACTTCTCATACAATCACAAAAATGCATTTCCTTAGGGTTCCCATGGGAATCCACGGACAATTCAATACCCACAAAATTACTTCAATACACAGAATTAAACATACGTACTTTAGGCAATCTCATTATCCAATAATTAGAATGAGACTACTTAATTCCCCTTACCTTCATGAATGCTAGAAGATAGATGTAGATCTTTAGGGTGTTCTCCTATAAACTTTGGTTCTCCTAAGCCTAATGTGGTGTAAGCATACAAGGAAAGGAAAATAATGAGCTTAAAAAGGAAAAATGATCAAAATAACTCCTTTTAAAATCATAATTTCTCACTTAACCCATAGTTAAAATATTTAACCAAAGTTAAACAATTCTTCCCTTGCTTAATAAAATAAATAAATCATTTAATTATAAAACCTTATAATATATCCATATACATATAAAATAATTGAAACAATTATTAAAATCAACCCAAATAATTATGAAAAAATACAGTAATTAATAATTAAAATATATATAATATATTAAAAAAATATAATTCTTCCAACACAATCATAATTAAAATAACATATATAAACAATTATAATAAAAACAAATATTTTTCTTCAAAATACTTATTATAACAAAATATCATTAAAATACATATTTCTCAAATAAATTTTATACAAAACAATTTCGGAAACATTTATTAAAAACACTCATAAATATTAAAAGCCTTTAAAATATTTTTATAAACCCCTTTAATTAATCAAAATACCATTTTAATAATTTTAAAAAACTTGGGGTGTTACATAGTCTATACCTACACTTTTTAATAGTATATCAACATATTATATACATATAGGAGGGATCCGTTTACTGTAAGAATAAGTCTACCTAGACTTACTCCATTCAATAACTCATGTTCTACATTAAATTTCAACAATCCAACCATTGAATTTAAAGTTCTTAATGCATAGATCAAATTTGTA